CAACTACTCTTTGATTCTGGATGAACATGAATTATTTCTTAAACAAGCTTTAGCTATATATTTGATTGCGTTGCTGCCTGTGCAGGTTTGAGAGTAAATGTAGATAGACTGAAGCCATATCGGTTGAATCAAGATTATACAAAACAAACTGTTACCGAATAAGAATTATCATGGAAAACATCAGGAAACATTCAGCTGTTGGAACTCATTTCGATCTCTTCAATGAGGATGAAACTTTAGAAAACTTTACAGAAAAAAACAAAAAGCATGGAAAGCCTTCTTAGTTTCTGGGCATACATGAACTTGACATAAATTGGCAGGTTCTGACAGTACTTCCAAATCCACTAGTCTATGTTATGTTAAAAATTCAAGGAATTTGCATCAAATCTTTATGGGATGGTTAGCGAAAAAAAAAGAAGCTTATTATAAATCATTATGATGAAGGATGTTTAAAATTCCCCAATACAGAAAGATTTTGTATGTCCCTTAAAAGGTCATTGCTTTATAAATAGATCCCTTGAATTTTTTCACTTGGAAGACTTTATTATTAAATTATATACAAAAAATGTCGGAGTGATACGATCTTGCACCTGACAGAAGAGGGTTTGGAAACTATTATTATAAACTTATATCCTTTTTGGAGAGACATGTTTTCTTAATATGTCCAAACAAAATCCAGAAAAAGATAAAACATGAACAAAACGCCATCAATATCTTGAGGCAACTCCTTTGGCTGAACATTAGTAGTAAAAGATGTGGAAAGTCATTAATTTATGTAAATTACTTTAATGAGGGTATATTTTTTTTTTATAAATGATCTAATCTCAGACGGAAAAAATATACTGACATTTGACTAGCTTAAATCTCAATATACAGTTAATACCAATTTTGTTTAATATTATGGTCTAGTTGGTGCAATACCAGGTTTCTTGAAAAAAGAAATAATTTCAGAGCACGGTAGATTAGATATTATTGAAAATGATATTGAAGAAATTTTTTTCTGGTTTTTACCTTTACCTCCATCTTGGCAGACTTCTTGGTAAATATTAATCAATTGTTTAGCGATGTTCTCGCCAAGTTTTATGAAAGTCAGGATTTCTTTGAAAATCTAATATACTACTTTCGGGTTCGTTGCATTTCCGTCCAATCTTTAGCGAATATCAATCGTGCGTTTAGGGGTATCGTCACTACCTTCCCATGTTTAGCGAGCGGTTGAAAAAAAAACGATGCTATATTGCATCATAAATATTGTTATCCATATTTGATGTGTTTGAGCTTTTGTTTTTGCGATTTGCGTAGGGACTTTTCGTTTACAATTTTCCTCGGATTTCGGTATTTTTTTTTTTTTTTTTTTTTTTTTGCACGAATTATTCGGCAAATTAAATTCTTATAATTGATAATCAGTAATTATGTTATTAGGGTATTATGGTTAAGTACCTACTAATGACGATCATGAAGACGCTTGATAAATTTTGATAGTGCAGTGATACAGGCGATCCCTTCTATCTCGTAAATGACGTCATCAAAGGCTTGCATAATTGACGAGCTTTTCCGGTGAAGGACATAACTCGAAAGTGTTTTATTTGAAATATACGTCAAATTAAATTACCATGAACCACAACAACAAATAATGCAACATCGGTGGGTAATTTCAGATCTTAACTTTCCCTTGAAAATCATTCCATTAACAATTCACATAGAATTGGTGTTCATATTGCTGTTAAACCTTTTTTGTAGCGGATTTTCAGTTTTTATTTATTTAAACTCATCAATAAAACCGCTTAATTTCCCTAGTGTTTTCCTTTTTTAGATTTATCGAATAAGGTAGTATCGATTAATTTTTGCTGGCGTGCATTAATCTTGTCATAACTAGCTCTGTTTTGCATATTTTTTCTAAGATCATTGAGGACCGAACGATCATTTTTCTGGGGGCTAGGAGAATTTTCCCCTATTTTTATCCGCGTCAAAGCCGCGCTAAAATGTATTTCCACTTTTTTACTCATTTTATTTCTGCATTTTGCATGTTAAGTGTTGCAGATTATTCATTTTCATTTTTATATTATGCAATTTATTTTCAGCTCTTCATAGGCCAGGATATTCATTTTTAAAATCTTCCATCCTCCCTCGCCTTTGTTCTCTCTGACATTAGAATGCATTTTTCTTTTCTTTTTTCGTTGCCTGAGGCATGTCATCATTCTATTTGTAATTGATTTTTTTTTTATTTCTTATACATTTTCTTTTAGTATTTTTTTATGATGCTTTTGTGATTGTCTGTTATAACACGAAGAAAGCATGTTCCAGGTCTTAAGGGTTGTGTGACTATAGTTCTGTTTTATCTAACTTCGTATAAGGATATTATATATTCATCTTTATGTGATTATGAGAATTGGTATGATTTCTGACGACTATCCACCAGAGACCAAGATGTTAGCCTTTATAGATCATCGTACTGCTTTCAACTATTACAAAAAATTGCATAGCAAGCTATAAAAAGCCCCATAAACGACAAAATGTAAAACTATTCAAACTAGAATACCAACAGCCAGATTTATGTGAAAAAAAGAAAAACATTTAAAAGAAAAGAACAAATATGATAAACATCAACAAAGGACAACCGCTTAATTTCATATTGTGGTCAAAACATTCATTAACGTCTAGTCCACTTTATTCCATAGAGTTTCTAGCACAACATGTGTTTTTTCTAACTTTTAAAGATCTATTACATTTCAATGTTAGTATATATATATATATATATATATATATATATATATATATATAAGTCTAAATTGAAAACAACGTTCAAACCTATGATTGCGTTGGATAAAAACCGCAATTTTTATACGTGTGCATGCAAAACAAATTTCTTGTTAGAGGGGTCTAAATACAGCACAAACAACATTTTCCAAAAGACCAAAAATGTGAAAAAGTATATTTAAACAAAACGCATTTGACTAACAGGTCGAACAACAAATGTTCTTAAACCCTGCTGACTGCCATTGGCGATTGCCAAATATACGGATCACCGATGTAATAAATGGATCTAAATTTAATACTAAACAGAAAACAATAAACTTGCGGAAACGATGGTATACCGCAAACAAAAGGTGCAAAGGTTTTTGTACACCATATCCAGATTTCGACAATTAATGTCTCTTAAGTGATGTTAGGAATCGAACCGGTATTTGGAAAGCCATACAATTTACCTCAATTTAGGATAGACTCTTGAATTTTGAGGAGTCAAAATAGGATGAACGGATCATATCAACCCGAAGGCAAATATAATACAAGCCCAAACGAAAAAATATAAACAAGTCTAAATTGAAAACAACGTTCAAACCTATGATTGCGTTGGATAAAAACCGCAATTTTTATACGTGTGCATGCAAAACAAATTTCTTGTTAGAGGGGTCTAAATACAGCACAGACAACATTTTCCAAAAGACCAAAAATGTGAAAAAGTATATTTAAACAAAACGCATTTGACTAACAGGTCGAACAACAAATGTTATTAAACCCTGCTGACTGCCATTGGCGATTGCCAAATAAACGGATCACCGATGTAATAAATGAATCTAAATTTATTACTAAACAGAAAACAATAAACTTGCGGAAACGATGGTATACCGCAAACAAAAGGTGCAAAGGTTTTTGTACACCATATCCAGATTTCGACAATTAATGTCTCTTCAGTGATGTTAGGAATCGAAACGGTATTTGGAAAGCCATACAATTTACCTCAATTTAGGATAGACTCTTGAATTTTGAGGAGTCAAAATAGGATGAACGGATCATATAAACCCGAAGGCAAATATAAAACAAGCCCAAACGAAAAAATATAAACAAGTCTAAATTGAAAACAACGTTTAAACGTATAATTGCGTTGGATAAAAACCGCAATTTTTATACGTGTGCATGCAAAACAAATTTCTTGTTAGAGGGGTCTAAATACAGCACAAACAACATATTCCAAAAGACCAAAAATGTGAAAAAGTATATCTAAACAAAACGCATTTGACTAACAGGTCGAACAACAAATGTTCTTAAACCCTGCTGACTGCCATTGGCGATTGCCAAATAAACGGATCACCGATGTAATAAATTGATGTAAATTTAATACTAAACAGAAAACAATAAACTTACGGAAACGATGGTATACCGCAAACAAAAGGTGCAAAGGTTTTTGTACACCATATCCAGATTTCGACAATTAATGTCTCTTCAGTGATGTTAGAAATTGAAACGGTATTTGGAAAGCCATACAATTTACCTCAATTGAGGATAGACTCTTTAAATTTGAGGAGTCAAAAAAGGATGAACGGATCATATAAACCCGAAGGCAAAATATAATACAAGCCCAAACGAAAAAATATAAACAAGTCTAAATTGAAAACAACGTTCAAACCTATGATTGCGTTGGATAAAAACCGCAATTTTTGTACGTGTGCATGCAAAACAAATTTCTTGCTAGAGGGGTCTAAATACAGCACAAATAACATTTTCCAAAAGACCAAAAATGTGAAAAAGTATATTTAAACAAAACGCATTTGACTATATACATGTATATATATAGCATTAACAATTAAAAAAAAAAAACAAAAAGTTGTACAAAATTTCTGCCATGCCAATGTATGCATTGTCTGAGTATTTTGAGTCATTCAATTTTCTTTTAAACAGTAATTTTACAAACGAGCAAATAAGTTTTATTAGTTTATACATGTAGTTCTTATTGAGGTCAAGTTTTGTATTCCCGATTTTTTTTCATTTTTGTCATTCAGAAGTTATGACTCTTCAATGCTATATCAATAACACAAATGATTGTTATAAAATCCTGGTTTGCTAAGTTTTTGACAGCCTCTTGTTATTCTGTTGTGTTTACCTTTATTTTTGGCTTTAAGTGCAACCTAAGTGTTCTTTTTATTGTGTTTTACCTGCATCTAAATGTCGTTATATAAGCTTAAAAAAAGATGTCGTTTGAACTTATGATTTTTCTTTAATTTTAGATTGATAAAAAAAATAACAGCATGGTATCAAACGAAGAAGAAAACTTTCTTCGTATTGTTTATCTGAACTACAGAGTAGCCACTGTAGCACTCACAAGATTTTTTGATAAACTACATCCACATTTATCAGCTGATTTACATATCCCAGGAAACAAGGCTATATTGCAGCAGCTGTATAATCCCCTTCCTTGAAGAAAACGAGTTATCTATACAGGACAATGGAATATTCTGTATCCTCCACCAGGTAAGTTCCTATGAGAACACATAGTTCTCTATCCAGGATAATGAAAGTATTCTGTGTCTTCCACCAGGAAGGAGATAAAACTCATCAAAGATACCAGGTTTTAATTTGGTGTTCCAGAAGCGCATTCTGTCTACAGAAGACTAATCAGTTGCACTTGAATCATAACAGTATGAAGGAATATAAATACGATATGCATATACAGAGCATTAACAATTTAAAAAATCGAAAAATTGTAAAAAAATGTCTGCTATGCCAATCTATGTCTGTCTTGAGAATTTTAAACAATTCAAATCATTTTTTTTAAATTGTAAGTTTACAAACGAGCAAACAAGTTTTATAACAAGGACAATGGCATCTTCACAAGGTAAGTTTTCTAGGAGGAAGCAAGTCCACTGCCATATCAAATGGGTAGAGATTTCCTAAAGACAGAGCCCCCAGACTCGCCTCTTAAGGGTTTTGGGCTGCCCTTTAGTTGAGCAAAACATCATGCTGGACCTGATTTTTTTTATTGAAGCCGAAACTAAAAAGTTTCACTATTTGCGTCATTCATTCACAAACCAACTTTCGTCAAGAGTGTCATGTGGTCAAACTTTGTAGTTAAGTTGCAAGTACATTCTTCTAATGCATTGTCATGCATATTGAACGCCACCTCGTAATTGTGTTTTTAAGTCATATTTATCTCAAGATTGTCATATCAACTTGTTTTTATCACTCTCTTGTTATGTCTCATCCAATGCTGAATATTCATGAAATAGTTTCCACTGGATGGTGAGCAAACATCAATCAATCAATCATATTTCTACCTTCGTATATAAACGATTAATAACGTATGGTTTAACAAAAAACAAACTGATAACGCTGACAAACAAAGAAAAAAGGCGAATAGACAAACAACAGCCACAAAACACAACATAGCAAATTTAACACTGAGAAATTCAAACCCCACCAAAAACCTAAAAGTAGTAACTAGTGTGTGAACTTTTAAAAATGAAAAATAGTCCTGATTTCTCTTTATCCGTTGTATTCTGATACAGGGGACCGCCTTCGAAATGTTTGCAAACCATTAAAGAGGGTATAAAGGTACCATAAATTGTTGATTCTAAATTAACATAAGAAATTCGATATTGTGATTGTACTGTTACATGTATCATCAGAAGTCATTGGTGATTACATATTTTCTATTCCAAGATTACTGACAGTTATCTCAGCAAATGAAAACCCGACAATGAGTATTTGCTTGCTCCAGACTATTACTTCTGCAGTATTCGCGTATATCTATCCATTATTCTATTGTTATATATTTCTATTACAGGGGCACCAGCAGTAACCTCGGCAGATCTAGACTTGACATTAATTGTTTGTCTACTTCGTAACTTACCTCCAGTGGTGGTAGCTCCTGTGAATGGATTTGACCTGCTGCCTAATCCTAATGAAATAAGTGACGGGGCAAACATTGCACGCTTAAAATTTTATAAAAACTTTCTGGTGTCGCATTCGGAGGATGGTACACTATCCAATGTAGACTATGTGGGTATCTGGAATACATTAGAGCAGGTACTTATAAAAGTGGAATATGTAGCTGTTAAAACTATAGAACAATTGCGAAGTTATAACAAGCCTTTTAAACATTCTTTGCAGAATGGATAAAAATCAACATGTTTTGTTATAGATGACATAAAAGATGAAAGAAGTCAAATTTCAGAGGCATTCATGCTTGCTAAACTGAAAAAAATAACAGGATTTGATCAGGCAGATATCTTAAATAAAAAAAGCAATGCTAAAAGATTGTTATACATGTACAATAAGTCAAAATAATTCAATTAAAACCTAGGTTAGTAATCATTAAACTATAAATGGTATAAAAAGCATGCATAACAAAGAAATCGATTTTAAAATGAGTACAAAACAAATTTATAGTATCATTATAAATGACAACAAACCAGATAAACCAATAGGAGTAATAACTTTGGAAAAATTGTTTGCCAAAAGCTTAAATTATAAACTAGAAATTGTTTAACTTGATCATGTTTATATTTTACCTTCTACCTGACAATAAACGTTAAATGTTTACGTGGAAGTTAATTCATTTCGTTCTACCATGCAACTTGTTAGCAAAATGGAAAATACTGTCAGATAATATATCATGTATATGTAATCATTGTAGTTTATATAAAAGAGGACCATGAACACTTTTTTCTATCTTACAGCCCCATTTCTGATTTTGTATCAAACATATTAGGCCTACTTAACTTCTTAGGTGTCAGAAAAAACATACTCATCTTTCAATCAGTTTAATTGTGGTCTGGAGCTGGCATGTCAGTAACTGCTTATAGTCCTTTGTTAATTTATGTATCATTGTCATAGCTTAGTTTCTTTTGTTACCTGTTCTGACATCGGACTCGACTTCTTTTAAACTGAGTTTTACTGTACGTATTGATGTATGTTTGTTTATTCTACATTGGCTAGAGTTATAGGGGGAGGATTGAAATATCGCAAAACATGTTTAAATTAAACCTGCAGCATTTTTGCGCCGATCCCAATTCAGGAGCCTGAGGCCTTTGTTAGTCTTGTGTGTCTTTTTTTAATTTTGGTTCATTTATATGTTTCAGATTTGAGTGTCACGTCCATTTTCGCTGAACTAGTACACATTTTCGTTTAGGGGCCAGCTGAAGCCCGCCCCCAGATGCGGGTATTTATCGCTGTGTTGAAGACCCATTGGTGGTCTTGGGGTGTTTTCTGGTTTTTGGTCGGTTTGTTGTCTTTTTGACACATTCCACGTTTATATTTTCCACTTTATTTTAAATAAGGAAAATCTTATAGTAGAATATAAAATAAACGATTAAATTAACTACCTTTTGACTGTAATATTTTTCCATATACAAATCATGTTATATATCTGAATCTAAGAGAAACAGCATAGATATTTCATAATAATCAAAGTAGAAATATTAAAAAAACAATTGTTGTAAATAATGTTAATAAAAGAAAACATTGCAAATTAATTGACAAAAAAAAAAACCTCAACTACATATAACAATCATCAAAGTGTTAACTCTTAAGATACATTGTATTTCCTCACCAACATGTATAGCACGTTACTCGATGACTTACATATATGTACTGTCCAACACCAGAATATTGTTTGAAAGATATAATGTTGTATAACACGTACACTTATTTTCATTTTTTTGTTATTTTGTGTAGTATATTTTGATGTATGCATACTCATGTCTACCTGCATGACCTGGGAATTTTGTAAATCTAATCTGAACTTCACAAACAGGTTCAAATTGTGACTTGGCTGGAGAGTTGTCTCATTGGCACTCATACCATATCTTCTTATTTATATCTAATACCTAAAGGTTTACATAATAGCGAGACAATTGTAGTACAAACTTAAACTTATGCTACAAACATAAATGAAATTATGATAATAATTGTCAATTTGTTTATATATATTGTATATATTCAAACTATCAAGAACATCATAACTGATGATGGCAAACACGCTGGATAAATACACTTATATGAGAAACCATTATCTGGTAAACATGAAGTCATTAATATTGTTATGTAACATATCAATCTACTTTATTAGATTCACTAAATAAATTGATAACAGAGTGCAATAAAATATATCAGTCGTGTTTAAAAAAAAAGCCTATTAAATTTTCTTAGCTCTTTACTGAAAAAGTACTTTTATTTGTGAGGTACCAATTTTTGTGAGTTACATTTTTGTACCCTAACCAGAAATTTAAGTGGCTAATGAAATATAACAACTTGTTTACAAGTCAGGACATGGAAAGATCCCCAATGAAGATCTTAACACGTAGACATGGTAGATACAAGCATTTCAATATATACTAGAAAATACATTGAATGCCAGCACTTACACAAGGAACTGTACAACTGCAGAGAAGATTATACCCATGAAATCACAACACAATTTAACTGAATGAGTTTTTAACTTTTATTTTTAATGATGAAATCTGAAAATTAGTTTACTATTTTCATCATATTCTCATTACACATTTTGTGTCAAACCTAGATATTACAGCCAAATATTTCCACTATCTCAATACTTATTAGAATACATAAAAAGATCAATTGCTTATTAATCTTTTGATGTTTGCTAACAATTGAAAGAACTTTTATAAGCATGTTTGACAATTTGTCATGAGGTAAGGGTGTATATTTCAATTGTGAGAAGAATTGTGAACAAAGAAGCTGATAATATTTAAAAAACTAATAGCCTAGGCTTGCAATTGAATCCATACTAGAATATGTACTAAACTCTTGCATATTGTTGGACTTAAACAAATGTATAGTGTGTTGTATTTCCAATACCTTATGTCAGCCGCCATCTTTTATATTGCGGTCCAATTGGATTGTTTTTTCTAGGCGTCATATCTGAAAAAGTCCATGCCATTCAATCTTTCATTATGTTTAGTTTGATGCTTTTACCATTAAGTTATCAACTATTCTGATATCAGCTGACTATAAACAGAAGTTATATAAATACATGGTTTAGATGTACCTTTGGTTCTTTGCCTGTGAAAATTGGGATAATATGGGTTTGCGTTATTGTAACAAATTAGAGCAGTTGCAGGTTGAGGCAACCAGAATTGTAACAGGTCCTCCTATTTTTACTAGTAGTATAATTATCTATAATGAGATTGGTTGGAAAACTCCTGCTGAACGAAGAGAAAGAATGAAGTTACAATTACTTTATAATAGTCAACATATAATGCACTTGGTTATCTTTGCAATTTAATTCCACCAACAATCAAAAGTACAGCTGTTTACCCAATACGTAATGGGAATGATATAACATACACTTTTGTAGACTTTCATCGACACAAGAATCCTTCAAACCTGCAACTATGCGACTGTGGAATAACCATAATGTGGTTGACTCTTTAGGTAAATTCAAAACAGAATAAAAACACATTAAACTTAATTCGAAAGCCCAAGTACCTAAGCATTATGAATTTGTCATTCGAAAAATCTAACATTATTTTGACTCAACTTAGATGCTCAGCTTCTAATTCATGTTATTTGAATTATGACCTTAACAGAGTCTATCTACTTTCAGATTCCTTTTTGTCGCTGTGGTGCAAAGCGTGAAGATTCGTATCACATCTTTTTTTAATCTCCTAATTATTATCCAATATATATAATGTATTGTGTGCAAGCATGCTTTATATCTATTGTCATGAGAGAAGATTTTATAAGTTTGTTTTGTGTCTCAACCTTTTGCATATATAAGCAAATAAAATATGTCAACTTAACTTTTGGTTGAAATAAGGGAGATGTTTTGCTACTCCTGGATTACAAAAAATATCATCTGGTTTCTTATACATGTATGGGTTACTTCACACTGGTTCCAAAAAATATATGATTTTGGTTACTTTTACACGAAATTAATTGAAAAAGTCTACTTCCTGATTACACAATGTCACTTCTAGTTGATCTTTTTCAATGGCATATGTTTTCAAACCTGATACAATAGACCAGAATGAATTTATAAAAAATGTCAAATTGACATTGACCTCATTTTCAAGGTAGAAGGTCATAAACCTAAATCCATAAAAGCCAAAAGGTCTTTTCTTTATTTGGCTTTTTTCACCATAAAGCCAATTTCAAAACAATCCAGGGGAAAAACTCATATAAGTTGTCATCATACCATTTAAGACCCGCATATATTGAAGTAATGTCATGTTGCAATACAAAAAATTTGAAAAACATTTTTGCAGATATGTGTTACGGGTTCTACGTAGAAGCGATAACCAGCAAACATCATAGATGAAAGCATGACCTTGTCCTGTGTCGCTGACCTCTTTTTGTTTTATATAAACATAGGACCTTAAATCAAAACAACCTTGGTCTCTATAACTTTAGGTAACGGATTACGAGTTACAATAAAATTTCACTTATGTCGAATACATTTAGGGAAATCGCTTTTGTCAAAGTTCCTAATAATTGATATCATGTGTGTATATAGCAACTTGGGAAACACAATTGTTCGTTTCTTTTACGTATCCAAATAGTAGCAAAAACAAACAATAGTGTTTGGTTAAATTGGAAGAAATGCAAAAGCGCAATAACTCTTTGACATCAAATGCCTAATATCTACTCGACATCTTCCAATATCACAATACGGAATACGAAGAAAATAATTCAGCAGAACACATAAAATAATAAGGTTGTTCGACAACAAAAGCTGAAATATCTTATTATCTCAAATCTAAAAAATGACAGCAGCATGGACAGTAAGTCAAGTTTGACACATTAGTGAAAACTATAAGCAAGTCATTTGTATTATATACTGCAACTCATTTGTAAAGAAATCTTATTTTTCAGGCTATTAACGGTCTTGACAATTCACAACCTACTGCTGCAAGTTTAAAGGATGCAAAAACAAAGATACTGGATAACTCAATGGCCCAAATGTTGTCAACCCAAATACAACTCAACACAAAGGTTTCTAGTCTTCAAGATGAGTTAGAACAGATGACTGAAAATATAGAAGAAAAAATAAAAATAACAGAAAGTAATTTAGGAAAGGAGATTAAAGAAAGTAATGAAAACATACATATTTTATATGAACGACTGAATACAAAGGCAGAACAAAGGGCTGAAAGAGATTTAACAGAATTTCAGAATTGGCAACAGCTTCTTGCTTCAAAATTCACTAGTATGGAAACCATTGTCAAGGAAAGTGAGAAGAAGAAACAAGCATTAGAAAAAAATGTGAGTTCATTTTGCAGTCGGATTCAAGATTTTGTCGGCAAACATAAAGAAAGAATAGAAGCACTTGAACACACATCTGACGGTTTTGATGAAACACTTCACGAAGTACAGAAATATGTTGACAGCGTAAGAGCGACCACAGGTATCTGCTTTTAAGTTCAATTTAAACATTTCATAATGATGGGGTCTGTGGAAATATACAGATATTTCATATTAATGTTTTGAATTGCACAATCCGCTTGACAGTTAATAAAATGCAAAAGGACACACAGTTGCATTTGCAATGTTTGACACATTATGTAGAGGTTTTTATGAGCTGGGTTTAGCTTCCATTTTGTTGGTATTAGGAGCAATTGATCTAAAATGCAAGTTTAAGCACCTTATTTTTTTTTAAAAATATTATATATAATAGCTGATTGCCTCTACGATTGATGAGGAATGAATTTCGAAAAGTCCCATTTTATGCATCAATTTAAAATTAATTTCGTGTAGTAGTTTACTTTATCTATCTAGACACAATTACTTTAACACTGATATTCTAGTACATGGATATTTGTGAAAAAATAAAAAACAAAAACTAAACATTGAAGATTACTGATGCTACATCATATTTGTTTTGTACATAAATCAGGTTGGTAGTTTTCACGATTAAATTGAATTACATTTGTCATTTCAAGGCCTTGAACAGCTAACTATATGGAATGGATTTTGATCATTGATGAAGGCCAAACGGTGACCTATAGTTGTTATCTTCTCTAACCTTTGGTCTTTGGTGGAGAGTTGTTTCGTTGATAGTCAAACTACATCTTCTTTTTTTTTATACTGAAGGTTATATAAGATGTGAAACAACAGACATGTAATGTTGTTGAAACGGTTCTGTGTTATTAATATTTGGAATGATTGCCTATCATGACCATTTAAGATTGCCGTTGTTTCAACTGTTTCTAATAAATAAAAAGAAATTAACCAAAATAACAAAATAACAAAAAAGTCAGCTTATTATTATAACAACCCTACAACCGTGCAATGTCTGCCATTCTGTCTTTTGGTCTGATTTCTGTCTGTTTGTTCATCTAGTCGTCTGTATGTAAATTCTATATTAATATATAAGAGTGATTAGCATGAATGTGGGGGAAGTTTAAAAAGCAAAACCCACGTGAACTGTAGTGCATAAAAAAGAGGTCCGGTTTGATTTTTTTAATTGAAATTGGGACAAATTTGTGGTCAGAAACTAAGATTATGTTACAAAAATCGCGAATTTTGTGAAAATCTTGTTTGCTTCCATTGCAACAACATTTAAAATGTAGGTTATAATGCGTGTAAAAACTATATCGAAACGTTATGACATAAATTTAAAGAAAGAATTGGCGTAAAAACTGAGTTTTGTTAAAAAATTTCAAATTTTGAGAAGCATCTGATATTCTTATGTGCTAGGATTTATGTGTAAATTTGAGATAACAGTAGGTTACCGATGTTGAAATCTCAAAAATTTAATTAGAAGAAACAGAAGAAGGTCAATGTTTTTTGTTTGTTAAGAATAACAAAAAATCATGTTTCTTGATTAATCTTTTCAATACCATTCTCGACCAATGTTTTTTTTCTTTTGGATTTTTTTAATATAAGACACAATAAACAATTCTTAAAATATTTCATGTTAAGGTGAAGTAAGATAAACATTTAACTATTCTCTCATTTGATAAAACAATAAGATTCACCATGATAATGAATTTAGAAGAATTTGAAAATGTAACTTTCCCGAATAGATAGACATCGAATGACACTTGATAAAGTGGTCGACTCTATATATACAGCATAACGTTTATTGTCATATATTGGCTATGCTACGTATACTTCGTTGTACTTAGAACGAGCTTAAGATTCAAACACAAACAGTGTAAGACAAGTACAGTAGGTGCAATGGCTAAATAAAGATAAAAGCAGGAGAGTTTTTGGCACCAACCCCAAATTTCATTTAATTTCTCATGTTGTAACTATATACCACAGACATTCTGAAAATGGTTGCATTTTGGGTCTTTCTCGTATATTCTGTTTCCTAGGAAACTGTTTATTGGTGGCCATTAATTCATTTAATATGCATTTGATTTTGGATGTGTACTGATTTATATTTTAGTCTTAGATTTTTTAGTAGTTGCTATAAGCTTTGAACCAGTTGTTAATAACTGCGAGTACTCTCAGGTCTGTACTTACTGTCTTTTTATATGCATACAAGTGAGAGGTTTAGCTAGCTATAAAACAAGGTTTGATCCACCATTTTATACATAAGAAAAAGCCAGTACCAAGTCAGGAATATGCCAGTTGTTTTCCATTCGTTTGATGTGTTTGAGCTTTTGATTTTGCCATTTGCTTAGGGGCTTTCCGTTTAGAATTTTCCTCAGAGGTCAGTATTTTTGTGATTTTACATTTTGTTGTTACGGACGAGGGATGGATATATACCCTGCCACGTCCCGTCTGTCCAGTTTTGTTTGGTGTTTTTCTTTGTATCGATCTGATGAGTTAAGCCTTATCAACAGATTTTTATATTCTGTTCTAATGTTGTGCTCCTACACCACTGTCCCAGGTTAGGGGATGATTGGAAGCTCACACGCATGTTTAACCCCGTCACATGATTTATTCGCCTTTCCCAAGTCAGGAACCTGTAGTTCATTGGTTGTCGTTGGTTGATGTTTGATATATTTGTTTTTCGTAAATTGTTTTGTTATAAATTAGGCCTTTAGTTTTCTGATTTGAATTGTTTCACATTTTTCATGTCGGTGCCTTTTATAGCGAACTATACGGGATGGGTTTTTATCATTGTTGAAAGTCGTACGGTTGCCTATAATTGCTTGCTTTCGTTTTATTTGAACTTTGGTGGATAGTTGTATCATGGTGTAATACCACCATTGATTTTCCCCTGTTAGTCTCAGTTAAATTTGCACTTTTCAAAAAATTGTGAAGAATTTATCTTTGTTTCAAATAAAAAAATACTTGGCATGATTAAAGTTTTATCCTGTCCAGTACTATAGACAACATTTCACATAACATGTCATTGCATATAAGAAAATAACCATCACCGGAAGTTAACCAATCAAATTTTCACCTCTTTTTACCTGTGTACAAGCTTTTGTGATCTTGTAACCTCAAGTTTCCAAACCATTCTATAGAAAAACCAAATAAAAAATATTGGTACTTTGAAACATCCAAGAAATATGTTTATGACCCTGAAATATTTTACTGCAATGAAATGTAGGATTAATTTTCTACAACTGTCAAATTTAAGGGAATATTTTTTTCGACCCATTCGTATGCATCTGGATGTGACGTACGATGATTTGGTGGTATTACACCTCACTCATGTCAATCATACCATATCTCCTTTTTTTATATAAATATACAGCTTTAATATCTTTATATTAAAAAAAATAAACCGGTTTAACATGCAGTAAATTACATGTATACACTAGTTAAATTTAAATCAATTCAAAGCATATTTTTGGGCAAAATTGTTGTAATTTATACCTAGCAACAAAAATATGCCCATAGCAACGATAAGTCGTTTTCTATTTTACAAGATTCAAATTCTATATATGTGGAAACAAAACGATTATTTACGATGCACATTGTAAAATGCACTTGTAGAGCACTTTTGTGGGAAAACAATGTAACATTGATCTTATTGTGAATTTGCTCCTTATTTCATCTGCTTACAGAATAAATACATGCACCCCTGATATATTATTTTCAGTATACCCAGTATTAATGAAATTTACAGATTTTGTGTAAACTTTTGTAATTTGACAGTTATAGCTTATTAACTCCCATGTTGCAACTTTCTCTCATTCGACCTATTTATTTGTCAACATGTTTATGCTATCCACTATATTATCGAATCTTAATGGAAATTTAATAGAAGTAACATTTTTTTTTGTGTCGGATACTGTTTATTTCTTGAATTTTGTATCCGTCGAATCCGTTGCCCATTTATGTCAAATAATGATACATATTTTGGTTATGACTCAAAGGATCTGTTAGCAAACAGAAATGTGAACTTCTGGATGACGAAAGCATTAACATATAAGTTTTACCTACAATCTTGTAACTGGGCTAATATTTAAGTACACATCTCTTTATTTTTTTTATCAATATTAACATATGAAAAACATATTGCACCATTCTCTATGTATCTTTTAATATAAATGTATTTCTCGTAACTTTACACCTTTTGTTTAAAACGTGTGTTTTAGTCGCATCTGTAAGTAACAAATTCAAATAACACATCACTAAACAAAAATACTAAAACTCTTGATACCAAGCGGTGAACTAAAATATAAATCGCAAATTTTTAGCATAAAATCGTTCATATCTTTTTTCGGTTTATTCTATTCTGTTTTGTGGAACAGCCTCCTCCCACACACCTTCTTTTTTTTAAATCCTGGATCAATCCCTTATACCAAAGAAGCTATTTCCATTTCGAACACAAAATTTTTAATTGAAATTAGCCGAAACATTAGAAATGATAAGATTGTGTTATGTTATATGTCTATCTTATAGATGAATTGAATATAATGTTTTCCAGAAATAAGCTGTTTTCCTGGAATTGACATGTATCCTTGAATCCCTTACAATATGTGGTTCATTGTTTTCTTTAAATTAAAGATAGATATACTTACGAAAATTATAATAGAAATGTATGCTTCAGTTGTTTTTACTTGACCAAATACCAGGATGTCCTACCATATTGTAGGTAACCTGTCGACAAATCTTAAATTCCGGAGTCAAAATTCGGTGAGTCTATTGCTCTGCTTGGCTATAAAAAAATCTAAAATAAACTATCGCACCAACCACTAAGATGATTTTTTATTCTGAAGAGTGATATGTATGAACTAAATGTTAAAATTTCAAATTGGTGCAAGCATGGTGAGGTGGTAAAAAATAAAGGAAAACCACCCCAAGTTCTTTATTTTTGCATATTTTCCCGATTAGGACGTCATTTTATCTCACCATTTTGACGTCATTAAACATGTTTTGTTATATAAAAACAGTGTTTTGAAATTTTTGACTCTTGTTCTGATGATTTATGGTGAAAATGATGACCAGTTTGATTTGTTTTAATCATTTTGTAAATCTAGGGCCATTTTGAGCCATTTAAGCCCATACTCCTTTATATACGGTCGGTTTTACCTGAAAAAATAGTTAAAAAGTACATTGGCAGTGTAATATTGTAGATTAACTATTTATTTTCAGAATGCATAACGGCAGAAATTTAAAAAAAAGATGACGATCATATTCCGAAGAATATTCGAGGTATGCTTATTTTCTTAATCGTCATGAAACCTCATTGTAAATAATATGATTTTTTTCTGTCATGAATTATCTCAATATCATAACACCGACAATTTTGACCAAATGCAATCATCATTTATCGTGTTTAATTTGTGAACTGTATACTGCATATTCTGTTCTACAGACTAACTAGCTTTTTTCCTTTTATACAAACAGAAGGAAGCTATAGAAGCATCATTGATTTTCATGCGCGCCTTTATAAATAGGATATACTATGTAGATTTATCGTTGAAAATGATCAATTTCTATAATACCAAAAAAAAAAATAGAATTACTGGGACAGTAAGTTGATATTCCACACATTTGTTATACAGATGATTGAGCAGCAATATATATTATAGTGAAATACGGTGTTACGTAGACGTTAACTAAGCGTCTTTTTTTAAAACTGTCACTCGCCTAAATTTTACATGAATTTTCAAATTGTGTATGCGAGCGCCCTTGTTGTTTCTGGTTCTTTTCGAGTGGTTGAAGTCTTATAAATATGATATGTTGCGATTGTTTCTACCGAAATGTTAATACATTATACTTTGAATTTCTTAGGTTTTCGGAAGCGGTATAGATGTTCCTGTGCTCGTTTAAAATTTTCCCGTCCTGTGTGTCCCACATATCGTATACCACACTTTGGCCTTGTTCAAGTAACCAGATAAACGAGGCTTTGGGTTTTTCATTTAATGGCACAGGAAAAGTAAAGCAAAACAGCTCTCCAGTTCACTGTTGACCGAACAGTATTATTAGAAGAGAAAAAAATATATTTGCTATATCTTTGTAAAGCTCTGAGATAGATTTTGGACTGTCATCTTTCTTTCCACAAAGGACTTTTGTTAAATTTTTGAGGCAATTGTTTGGCAAAAGGCATAGTCATTTATATGAATAAAATAAACATGATGTCACAAACGAGTTCTTATTTTTTTTTTGGAGATTTCTGATTTTTCTTGTTATCTATTCTGATGGCTTTAACTCCTTCTATTATATGTTTTCTAAAAAACCTTACTAATTCATCAACTTTAAGCACTGTTACGTTGTTATCTTCCCCAAACGGAAGTTCTTGTAAATTTTTACTATCATTAGCATTTGATGATCTGAAACAAAAACACATTTTTCCTTGAGTTATAGGGAATCGTGAACAGTAAAGAGCTTGATATATCTAAAAGTCAAATGTCACTTGTTGAAAACTGTATTTTGACATTAAAATTGTAGTTTATTTTGTGTATATTTTTTCTCATGTTATATATCAACGTTTCTACAAATATCAACCCCCCCTGGGATTGCTTTGAGCGCAGAGGGTCTAGGTTCCAATCCCTAGTCGAGTCAAAATTTGTATATGAAGCTATTAGTGACGTCTTTGCTTAGCATGATGCACTTATATAATTTTGAGAAAGAGAAAATACTTCGTGTCTTATTTCAGAATAATATGTCTGGGTAGAGTGGTACGTATTCCTGTGGACTATTACCTTGTGAAATAGTTCGTTAAAAATTTGGCTCAGTCAAATAGTTTTGTACAAGATTGGATTCATATTCATATCACATTATCATGTTTTTGTTTTATTTTATCATGAAAGGACCACAAAGTCTATTATTTTATTTTATGAATGCATTTAATCTTTATTGTTTTTATCTTGAATATGAAATTGATTTTTTTTTTCTTTTCTAATGCAGACTTTTGATTTATACAAAAAATCTTGATATTTTAAAATTTATTGATATAAAAATGTCTTTGATATCAATCAGAACATTTTCATCTAAAAAATAAAAAAACGGAAAACAGAACATTACTTTTTACCAAAAAATCATACCTATAAATTATTTAAGTCTGTCTGTAATATACATGTACACTTGTATTTCTTTAAAGTTTCTTTTACAATGTGCACATCTATATTTCTTGTGGTCAATTGTCTGATTACCATGGTTATAGATAAAAGTTCAATACCAAGTCACAGACTATAAAATCTCTACCAGTAGAGAGGCTGATAAGAGGATGTGATATGTTGAAGAGATTAATCAACATCAATAAAATTGTTGCAACCTCATATCTCCTAAATTTTAAGATGAAATCGGGGGCTTGCTCTACAACTGTAGAGAGCATCAAAAAGTTCTCAACAACAAAACTTTATTAGTCGAACAGGGTTGAAAAGATATGTATTTAACTGTTGAGTAATACTTTATTTTTACGATTATTTAGTTCCCTAGTTTGTTTTAGTAACAGGTAAATTAGGAGACGATCATTTGACATTCTGGTTGTGGTGGAGATGGGGGGGTTATTAAATTACTATACTAGTCAACAAAAGAAACGATACAAGGCAATGTATTTCATATATAATGAAATTGGATACACTGTACCAAGGTAAATAATTGCCCAAATGGTCTAATATTAACAGTGTCATTTTCTTATAAAAACAAATTGATTTAAGGTAAATACGCGAAATTTTGTTTGCAATTTTTGTAATTAAAAAATCATATTTTCATCCAAAAATTCAAAAATCGATATTAGAACTTACAATTTGAAATTTAAACACGGTCTGCTTAAAATTTTGAATGCCTTTGCAGATATTTGAATACTTCATTCTTATCTTCAAAATTTAGTGCCGACTTTTGTCATCATTTTCCAAAAAATAAATTTGGTCCCTCTGTTCAATAAAACGGTATATCTCTCACTTTCCAATTTGGCAAAATTATTTTAATCATAAGCATTTGCTGTGCAAATGCATGTTTTTCCATGGATAGTTTAACAGTTTTTTCTATTTATTATATTTTATGATAAACTGGAGTTCAATCTTGTGTATCGTTACCTTTGTTGACTAGTATATATTGGCCTTATAAGCGCAGCAAATACACAATGTTGCCCAAAATTGGATTAGGACTTAAAATAATGTAAGATAGCACTTTAAAAGTCTGCCTCAGCATGTTAACTTGGTTCATTTATCAACTTTTAGGTTGGTTGGTCTTTTTTTTCTTATTCTAAGCAGCTGCAAAAATTTAACTTTTACTTTAGGTTGTATTGGAAATGTTCCTTTAATTAAGGACCTTGATGATTTGGACATTAGAAAAAAAACCCACATACACATATTCACATATTGTTTTTTTGAAAGGTTAAACGTATACTATATCAAACAGCTGTGCTGAATATCATGCAATGGAATGTTGAATCAACATGATTTAATTCAATTTTATTACTAAATAAAATATATTTTGATTCTCTCAGAACATTCTATCAGAAAGAATAAACATTGGTTATTTCAGTTAATGTAACACACGGGATTGTTCCATTGCAAATGCGTTTCTTCTTTGCAAAAGAAGTAAAATAGAAAAATAACCAAAAATTCCAAGGACAATTCAAAACGGAAAGTCCTCAAGTTGCAAAATCAAAAGTTCAAACAAATCAAACGAATGGAAAACAACTGTCATATTCCTGACTTGGTACAGATATTTCTACATGTAGAATATGGTGGATTAAACCTGGTTTTATATCTAGCTAAACCTCTCACTTGTAAGACATTGGCATAGAATTCCATTATGTTGACAACAATATCTTACAACCGGACATTGTTTTTCTTTAGTTTATGTTCAAAATCATACTTGCAATACTAAACAATAGTTGTTGTTATTTTTTTCTTTAAAACTCAACACGGACAAGAAATACAAGAATGGGAGGAAGAGGAGACTACTTTTGTCGAAACAAGAGCCACACTTCACATACTGGGATCTTTACCCTTAAAAAACTGTATTATTGTGACAGGGAGCTCGGGCTGTGGAAAATCTTCAAACATACACCATGCTGCTTTACGCTTACGTGACAAGTTTGGATATGAGATAATACCTGTTTTAACAGGACCAACAGACATTATAAATTATTATGATGAAAACAAAAAACAAATCTTTGTTGTGGATGACATTTGTGGAAAGGAAACAATCAACAGACAGACGTTACAGACATGGAGAGATACGTCAGACTACATGGTGAAAATATTTAAAATTGCAGAAAATGATGTTGGAAATAAAAATGAAGACAAGGTATCAGGTCAAAAAATATTGATTACTTGCAGACTGCATATATATAAAGATTCACAGTTTAAAGGTTTCACATCTCTAACACAAAACGAATGCAATTTACTATCACCAGAGTTCTGTCTTCTGCAAGCGGAAAGGATGGTTATGCTGCACAAGTACCTTCAAAATGATATAATTGAAAATGTTAAACAAGTCATAGATAACGTTGATTTCTTTCCCTTGCTTTGCAAAATGTCAAAAGACAAAACATCTGAAGAAGTCAAGAAACTTTTTACAGCTCCTTTAAACAGTATTAAAGATAACATAAACAATATCATTTATGAAAACAAAAATCAATGCTGTGCTCTTGCTCTGTGTATCTTATTTGACGGTGGATTCGATATAAATTGGCTGACATTAAGATCACCTTCAGAATTGAAGGACAAAATTGAAGACATTGTAAAAGAATTTGACATAAACCTTAGCAAAGAGATGCATAGAAATTCTTTAAAATCAGGTTTTTCTACGTTAAATGGCACTTATTTAACAATGAGAGGCACGGAGTATAGAATAATACATGACAAAATCTATAAAATTGCAGCTTTAATCTGTGGCCAGATTCTGACAGAATGTTTTATCAAAAATGCTTCTTCGGTATTTATTCGTGATCATTTCATCTTTGATTCATCGAAAAATCATGAAAATGATGTTTCAATTGTACCAATGGAACATCAAGAAGAGGTTTATTTTGATAGACTGTTATATGACTTAATAGCGTTTGACATTACTAGTACATTCCATAATACACAATTAATATATAAGTCATTTACTGAGAAGTTAATAAGCTTTTTTGAAAGGAGTGATGATGCAAAACTTGTATTGAAAAACATTGACAAAGAAGGTGGAAAAGTAAAAAAAAGACCATACAGTTCACCGTTATTTCGAGCACCTCATAAGTACAACACCTTTAATAGAAGCGGCATCAGGTGGTAACTTTGATATTGTAAAGTTCTTAATTTTAAATGTTAGATGCAATGTGAATAAGACAGACAGAGTTAACAGATCTTCTTTTCATAAGGCATCTCAAAGGGGACATTCTGATATAGTCAAAATCTCATTAGAAAACAATGCGAATGTCTCTCAGTGTAACACTTTTGAAGAGTCTCCGTTGTATGTGGCATGTCAAAAAGGACATACACGTATAGTTGATATGTTACTACAGAACAAAGCGGATGTCTCTCAATGCAACTTAGATGGAAAGTCTCCATTGTATGTGGCTAGCGCAGGAGGACATACAGATACAGTGAAACTTTTACTGCAGCATAATGCTGATGTTTCGCAGTGGAATCAGTTCAAACTGTTTCCATTGTATGTGGCTAGTAAAGGAGGACACATAGATACAGTGAAACTGTTACTGCAGAACTATGCTGATGTCTCTCAGCGTAATCTGTTTGGAATGTCTCCATTGTATGTGGCATGTGAAGGAGGACATATAGATATGTTAAAACTGTTACTTAAGAACAATGCTGATGTCTCTCAGTGTAACGTTGATGGAAAATCTCCATTGTATGTAGCCAGTGAAGGAGGACATACATCTACAGTGCAACTTTTATTGCAGAACAATGCTGAAGTCTCTAAGGTTGATTTTGATGGAAAGTCTCCATTGTATGTGGCCAGTGAGAGAGGACATACATCTACAGTGAAACTATTATTGCAGAACAATGCTGATATATGTAAGTGCAATACCTTTGGCGAGTCTCCATTAAGTATTGCATGTAAATTAGGTCATACATTGATATCGAAATTATTACTGCAAAACAATGCTGATGTCTGTACGTATGACGGTAATCACAAATCTCCGTTGTATAAGGCTTGTGCATATGGAGATACATATACAGTGAAACTATTAATACAGAACAATGCTGATGTCTCTAAATGTAGCTGAAGTGGACAGTCCTCGCTATATGTGGCTTGTAGAGGAGGACATATAGACATAGTGAAACTCTTACTGCAAAAATATGCGAATGTCTCTCAGTGTGACAACGATGGAAAGTCTCCATTGTATATGGCCTGCCAAGAAAGATATTCAGATATAGTAGAACTTTTACTGCAGAACAATGCGGATGTTTCCCAGTGTGAAACAAAAGATGGTAATTCACCTTTACACACGGTTTGTAACACGGATATTTTAATATTATCTCGAAATGTGGACAACCCAAAATATCACAACAGATATGCAAGAAAAATTGAAATTGTAAAACTATTACTTGCACGGAATGCAAATGTTGAAATGTATAATAAGAAAGGTCAGACACCACTTGATATTGCCCGTAAATTTCCATTTTTGAAAATTATTAATCTTCTTGAGGAAAATCTCCAATTGAAAGCATCGCAACTAAAGTAATCATTTCGTAAACTGTGAATTTTACAACTAGGAAACAATAGTTTCAATGTAAGAATTGTGTCAGTATAAAAGGACCTACGAAAGGTGATGTTGATTATTTCGCATTTGAGTGTACAAACTGTGAAATCAGAAATTATTGCGAGGTTTTTATAAATGCAAATATTAATGATTTTGTGTTTTGCTTATCATATTAAAATAG